ACTGCTACTGCTACTGCTACTACTGCTATACTGCTACAGCTACTGCTGTACTGCTACTACTACTACTACTACTACTACTACTACTACTGCTACTACTTCTTCTTCTGGTTCTTCCTCGAGTATCTCTACTGCCACCACCACCACCACCACCACCGCCACTGCCACTGCTGCAACGATTGCTGCTGCTGCTGCTACAAACTATTGATCACTCCCAGTGCCACCGCGACTGCCACTCCTATAATGTAGTACTACATGCACTTGCAATGGCTGTGCTGGGAACAGTAGCAGTAGTATCGATAGTATAGTGCTGGTAGAAGTCGCAGATCTATACAGCCGTAGCAATGCAGTACTATCAGGATAATCTTGCACATGCTTTGCAGCAGTCGCATAGTCAAGTTGCTGTAATTCGGACAGGTACCATGGCAGGAATGCGGGCCATGCTGTTTACCCATCGCAAGGGGCACTACCAACATAACGAGAAACTGCACCCTGGGGGCCTGCACGTGCCTCGGGGTGACTTCGAAGTCGCCACGGCTGAGCGCTTCAGCCGTGATCCTTTGAGCTAAAGATGCCTGCCGAAGATCCACCAGAACAGAAGAGTTCAGCAAGTTTCCAGAACATCCATGGATTACTGTAAAGGGGTTCTACAATCTGATATACAGGAATCCTTTCAGGGTCAGTCGAAGGCGACTTTAACTGGTTACCATGCGGGCCTTCGAAATTTGTGGGCTCAAGGGAGTTGTCGAGGTTTTCGACAAAAGAAGACAGGCCCTAACAGGAGAAAGTTTGCGGCTTCGGGGTGGTTCCGCCAAACCGCCGGAGAGTACCAACTACACTAGGGTATGTAGATCTTCCGACTCCCCAAACCCTCGACCCTAATCCCAAAACCTGCAAGTTTAGGTCCAGGGCAGGAGAGCTTCCATGCGTTGGAGGTGAACCGTCCTCAAACGCTTGAAGATTGTTACAGTATTCCTCATGGAACATTTTTAAACTTGGCTCGGGACCGACTTGAGCCACTCACTACCATACCATTCGGGGTACTGTAAGAAGAAGGTGACTATAAGGGTACTATTGCTCTCGCGGCTAGTCCATTCTGCCGAGACGCCTTGCAACGAGCATGGCGCAGGGCGGCGCAGCTACCCGAGAGCCTGTCACAAAGCTTCGGAAAGCTTCCGAAGCAGAGAGCTTAATGTACGGGCCGTAATAATTAGAATAGGGTTTAGGGNNGTAATTGTTTAGGCCCCTACATTGCCATAAATACATACTAAAAAATCTTGCTATCAAGTGCTTGGACTACTTCGGGGTGTGGGGAACTGGAAGGATGGACAACCCCTCCCTTCCCAATCTAAGATGGGCTGAGGATCCGGGATCCTAAGCCCGAGTCGACCAGCTCTACTTGGAGGTTCATGGGACTTAGTAAGTATAGTTTCAACTACCTTTATATCCAATTATAGGTATAGCTACCTTATCCATAATCTATAACTCAAATTACTAAAGCCAACCCCCGAAGCTTTGCAATAAGAGGTTCCTCTCGTAATTGACAGTGGCTGCCATGGAGTGGATTTCTTCTCTCCTCTCTCCAAGAAAGTGTCACATCTGCATAAGGGTCATGTTTGAAGCTTTCAAGGTTTTTTGGGGGCAGGGTTATGTTAGAGTGTATTGATAACGTGGAACCGCAAGGACTTGTTAATTGGGCAAGCCCCGAGGTTAGCCGGGACTGGCAAGGACTGTCGAGTTTCGGAGTATCCTCTGACTGCACAGCGACTCAATCTGAGCGAACCCACGGCCTGCGACAGGCAGCCAGGGACCGGGAGGTTGACATGCTCCGAGCTGGGGGGGGGGGGGGGGGGGCAGGAATTTCATGAGGTTGTTGTATTCGCAGAATTGCCTGCGTGTGTCTACACCTGTATCTCCGCTCGTCGTCGCAAGTCATGGCTCGGGAACACTGTTGCGGTGTGGCTTCTGGAATTTTGGAGCCTGTGCTACAGCAATATCACCGGACGGATGCTACCTGGACACGCCCTCATAGAAACCGAGACAACGAGATATCGCAGGCGCAGGTTCATAGTGTAGACGTGTCAGAAACTCCGTCCCATGAGACACTCTTCAATGTAGCAGAAACCTAGGACTCGTACAGGAAATGTGCTGATAAGGCTAATGAGCCGCACTGCTGGTGTAATTGTGATGTAACATGCACATATGATGCACAAGCTCAAGCTGTCACCACTACTGCAATCACTTCAAAGATTGTTTCAGTGGCCTGCTCATCAAGCATAGGGAAGGGTCTGTGGAAGCAATCGGCGTAAACCAGCGCAGGAAACTTGAGTCTTGTGGAGATACTTGCAGCAACTTGCCTACATGCATGAGGCTCTATCAAGATGCCCACGCCGGATGGAAAATGTGCCGTCGCATCCGCATTGGGATGTAGGCTTGGCCAGTGCTCCATATGCTAGCCAGGAACAGTGGAGAATCTGGCGTTGACCTGGGCACAAGACCAGAAGCATGACGGAACAACTCTCGGACCAAACGCTGACTTCGCATCTGTAGCCCGCTGTCATTCTGACAACAGTCGTTACAAGAATCGGACATGAACGGTCCGAAATGTCTTGACATGGTCGCAACAGGTCTGATAAACAGCAGGCACTTTTCTCCGGCCCAATTGTATGATGCCCAGCACCGGGAGGGCCTGCATCAGAGGCTGCTAGCACGGATCCCCGGCTCAACATGTGATGCGAAAAAAGTCGTCACATGCTGTGGTTGCCACAATCAGGAGAACAAGGTCTGTCTGTGTTGATACGTTCTTGGGTCGCATCTACTCGCCTTCGTCATCATCCTTTGCCGGTTTTCTGTGCTCCGTTTGTTTGTAACTGCCCTCATCTCTGCTCCGCTCACCGAACATGTCCTTATGTTCCTCCTTGCTTTCGTCTCATTGTCTTGCTTCAACGTGTGGCTTGCGTGCCCATAGTTGTTTTAGGTTAAATACATTGCTTCAGTCTATGTGTCTGGTCCATCGCGTTAGCATGTTCTCGTTGTATGCCTGCCGAATCAGCTGGTATCGGGGCTTCTTACTGTAATTCAATCTACTCCAGCCCCAGTCTAATCTAAATCTAACCTGATCTACTCTAGTCCTGTCCAGTCTTGAAACATGTATAACTAACCTAATCCGCAATCCTAGCACATCAATTTGGCACGTGTCCGAGATCGCAGATGTCCAAGTCACAGATGGTGCAGAGTCATTCAGCCCCGCGGAAAAAAACAACAATAAATCTCGGTCTGGTCTGCTTCGGTCTGTATTCCGCCGCACTCAAAGTTTGCACTCATACCCGAGTTTGACTTCGAGTCTGCGCTGGGTGTCGTTACGTTATCTCCGGTGGCCTCTCAGTCTGCCCGCTGAGATAAACGCATTACAGTGTCGTCTGCATCAAGTCTGCGCCACCACGCCGCATCCCCCTCTTTGCTATTACCCACGGCCTCGCAGTGAGGGTTGGACGCTTCGCAAGAGCAAGCCGCAGACAAACCCAGACGAAGTCGTACAAAATGAGCGGCTCAGTTATCTGGGTTTGGACGGTTGCAGTATTCAGCTGAACTTTGTTGGTGCTGGGTTACAAACGTGCAAGAACAAAGCCTTACCACTGGATCCTTATGGCTGCCAAACTGAGCACGAAATTCCCAAAGCCTCTACAGGAAATCCCGAAGCTTCAGCAGCCGCCGTCGGCGGCTGGGCGCGACAGCGAGGGCCTCTGCAGGTTCTTCAAGTCATGGATAGGGTTCCATGTGGAGGTGCTGGAGAGTTTGGGTCTCTGCAGCTTACAAGCTACAAGACTTTTCCAGGTTAACGACAAGGCTTTAGCACGCGAGGTTGTGGCACGGCAAGAGTTGTGCGTAGGCTTTCCGGCTTTCTGGTTTTCTTATTTTTCTCAGTGCCCAGGACTTAGAGCACTTGTGTGAAATTCTGCAATTTGAACGCTGAATGTCATTGCAGGTGTTACACCATGCCATTATGCAGAAGCATTGTGGACCGTTGATGCAGCGCATCAGCACATATACGAGAGGAGACAACAAGCCAGCTGTCAAACCGCTCCGTCTGGACACAAACTGTAGCTCGGCGGCGCAATCAAAGTCACGGGTTCAGTGTGGTCAAACAAGATGGGCATGTGCGCATGCACATATATGATACATCCAGAGCGACCGAAAGAGAGAGGGAGAGAGAGAGAGAGGGATAGAGACAAACTAATCGAGAGTAAGGTTCCGGGCACGTCCAAGCAGCAAGCATGACACTGAACCCTGACTCTGCACAGACACTGGAGTTGTGAGTCCTCGATGACTCCGACGGCGCTCGCTTGCACAAGGTCAGGCGCTCGGGCGGACGACCTGGACGAAGAGTTTGGTTTGCAAGATGCTTGGCATACTCGTCTCAGCCAGCTCTTCGTAGTTATCGGGGAAAGTGATCGGAAGGAGCCGAGCAAAGTGATCATGATCACAGTCTTAAGACAGCCATGAGACTGGCAAACACCGGGAAAAGCCAGAGGAGCAAGAAATCTACGAGCTCTCGACATGAGGAGCCGAAAATCATGGCATTCCTTTCGGCCAGGCCCTGCATCTCGATTGGGATAATGTAGGGGCCTTAATCAGCAAGGGTCTTGGGCTCTTTTATCGTATATTTAGAATAATGAACCCTAAGGAATAATATTGGTAATCATTTAGGCATCCATAGTAGCCCAAAATCATAAACCCATACTGCCAGCGTGGACCCCAAACAGTGAAAGAACACCCAGTCCAAGTCCTGCATGCCCAAGACATCGCAAGACACATTCCAGGAGCTCACTGTCTGGGGAATACTGTACATATCCTGAAGCACCTGAGCCCTCCCCAAACCGAACAACTACTTCACGACTGCGGCAAGAAAAGCAGCAAACAACGAAACGTGTGGTATCTCAAGTAAAGATCCATTATGCCGCACTATGAAGCCCGTTGTCCCGAATTACACTTCCCTCTCTTGCCTGGGCTTTGCCGGGCAATTTGCATCGATAAGTTTGGCGGCCTTCTGCAGGAATAAACTGGATGACCTTGCGGGATGTAGAGGCTTTTGTGTGGGGTTTTGGGAAGAGGGAGGGATGTGTGATCGCAGCTAAAGTTTTAGAGGTTCTGCATTTTCGGTGATGTTCTGCTTAAAGGGGCTCGGGAGAGCGTCGCCACGCGGCCACAACCAAACCGGGCCACCAGACCCCGCCTCCCGTCGCCTCCAAGAGAGGCTAAGTTCTAGATCCAAAATGTGCGCCCTGCTGCAAAGTGACTGGTCCAGGTGCGCGTCCTGAAGCTCTTTGCAGTCATCCGATGTCCAACGACCTTTATCCTTGGTCTCAGGGGCTGATGGCTTTTTTGGGGAGCACTTACACAATAAACTATAAACGTTCTGTAGCCGACTGCGTGCGCGAACAAGAAATGCCTGCTGGACAACAGAATAAAGTCAAAAAGGCTTTGCGCCCACACAAGCGCACGCTTCCTCACAACGATATGCCGAAGCAAAACTTTTGTTGAACACGCTCACAAGTGGTTGCGAGACTCACAGACACTGCTGACTATTGCCATATTGCCATGTGTCCGACTCCTCGTCGAGGATACCATACTGCGACAGAAGTGTGGCACTTCCATCCTTGCGGAGCCATGGATTACGAGCAGGCCGCTGTCGGACTTTGATGCTGTGCTGTGTGCTCCCTCGGACCCAAAAATCTTGCCTTTGGAGGATGGTACGACACCAGCAGCTCATCACCAGCCTGCTGCTTCCAGAGCTTCCACGCGATCTGAATTCGCTTGCTCTCCCTCGCTCTCTCTCATTCTCTCCTGTTGCCCTACTGCGAAAGTCTCAAGCTCAGCCAGAACCTAAGCCTGAACAAAACCGAAGCTTCAAAACGACACGGTTCTCAGGATATGTCGGGAAGTTCGACTTACCCGGAACCCGGATGTTCCTAAATCCTAAACTTTCAGGCCTCTTAGCCATAACCCCAGAACTCAGCCCTTAACGGGGCCTTGATTGGTCTGCGCGTGGTGAACTTGAGCAAGTCACGCTCGCAGTAGTACACCTCCAGGCGCTTTGGGGCTTTGGGTTTGGGGGCAAAATCCTCCCGGACAAGGCTCGAGAGCTCCGGGCTCCCCGAAAGGGTGAAAATTTACAACAGGTAGATAGTGGAGCTCCGACTCTCTCTACGTCTGCCACTGCACTCCTGACTATAGCCTCGGCATGATTCGGCGTTGCTATGCAATGAAAAGTCGAGCCAGGCATGATTAGCAGTACTCAAATCTACCGAAGCGTGGCCCGATTGATTCAGGGAGGCATGCCGGAGACCCGCTGAGCGTGCTCAGTGCTTCTTGTTAGACAGAGATCTCGCACCAAGGTGAAAATAAGTTCACCAGCGTGCCGCTGTATCGCATGTAAATCCTAAAGCCCTAATCTAAAACCGAAACAGAAACTGCAATGCCCCCAAAAACATCTGACTTCCTGTAACTGTCCCCAGGCCTCTTGCTTCCAGCCCAAAACCCTACCTTCATTTGGGATCTTCTAAGGTTTACTCAGATTGAGGGTTTCGTCGTACATGTAATTGAAGGGGTCGGTTTTTTTTGGCTACAGATAGCGTCTAGGTAGCATCCAAATGTTGTAGCGATTTCACAAGCGTAGGTCATGGAAGCCGAGGAGCCACGTTGGGTGTCGAAGAGTGGTTGACCATATCCTCGCTGCTGCGGTATGTTTAGTATAGGCTTGACTAGTCAGTACAGCGTTTTGAGGCATGTTGTACTTACCCAAACAGAGACTGGCAGGGATTGCTGCTGCTGCTGCTGCTGATACTACTACTACTACTGCTGCTGCTACTACTACTACTACTACTACTACTACTACTACTACTACTCATCATAATACTCATACTAATAAAGCATACTGACGATGCTGATGATTACTATTGTTCTTATGGCACTATGACAAATAGCTGTTATCATCATTATTGAGGCCTCTGCATGTCTACGTTGTCTATAGTATCCGAATCGTGGCTGTTGCCAAGAAGCCTCTGCCTCTGAGCAACTAAGTTGGACGGACACACCTCCGGGAAAACACTGTCGATGTCTGGTGGTTGGAGAAGCATGGGATACTGCACGATCACTTCTGGGGAAGGCTTGAACCGGCCAACATCTTCAACACCAAAACTTGATCAGTTGAGCCGAATGCCCTAGCCTCGTTGGTGCTGGTTGCAATCTGACAGCACCAGCAGCTGAGGGCCCCGCCCCCACTGGAGCCATGGTCATGTGACCTCCCCCACCGCCTTGGAATTGAGGTTTCCGGGCTTCGGGATGTGGGGTTCAGAGGAGCCGATTGTGCAGGCTTGCGGCAGTCGAAAGAACGCGTGAACGCAGCGATCAGGCCCCAAAGAGCATCCTCGCTGCCGAAAGCAGATGCAGTTTGGGATTTAGGGATGTGTGCTTGTAGATGGGCTACTTCTTGGTTTAGAGTGCTCGGGGTTTGGGACTCCATAGACCGCGGGGTTCAGCTGCCGATTCGGATGAGGTGGACAAACTCTTGGGCACAGTTCAGGAGAACCAAGGGGTACTTCTCGCAGTTATTAGCGTCAGCCAAGCTTACCATGAGGGCTAGCAAAATCACCTCGTGATTGATACATGTTGTAGAACTGTGGAAATGCTGCTGACTCAATTTAGGCTGCGCAAAACGAAAGCGGACTGGTCGGTGACCCACGTCCCGTCCCGGTACCGGAATTCCTGCTTGACATCACCTACATCATACCTTAGCCGCGTGTAGCCTTCCAACATGAATGGTTCGAAACGAGTCCGCTGCAAGAACTGTTCTGAATTGACGACCACTGCAAGGTTTTCAACCGCCAAAAGTCCTTCCAACTGATCTCGGGTCGGCTTTCCCGGTGGGAGTTGTAGAAGTCCAGCTCTTTTTTGAGCACGTCCTTCGAAATTCGACAATGCAGTTGCAGACAGTGGAAGCTGAGCTCCAACAGCAGAATCTTCGGCTTTGCATGGCATTGACGGTCCAACCGAGGCTGGCTTCACATGTCACAGGCGTGCAGGGTCAAGAATGGAAGATCTAGGAACAAAAACACGCTGCTCATCCCTATCTCCTGCATGTCCTTGGTCCACTGAGGCACCTCGCTCGCACTGACAAGATCGCTCAGGCTAGCTCCGTTGCGTGGACGTGGCTTGGATTTCTTGTCCGCAGCAACATGCTAAATCTTGAGCACTCCCAACACAGAGCCATTAAATAGAGGTCTATTGATGGGAGGCAGGCACCGAGAGGCTCAATTATAGCGGCTGTACTTACGGCCACGATGGCAAATAACCAGACGCAGGCAAATGAGCCTGGAAACCCTAAGCCCTAAACCGAACCATGAGAATAACTACAGACTCTGTGCATCCTGGCATTAGTGCTAGGCGCTCCTGTCTCACAGATGAAGCAAGGTGATTGACTTCTTCTGTGAGTCCAACTATAGCATGCCCTTCTCTGACTGAGGGCAGCACGCCCCCGAACTTCGGAAGTCCTCGAGACTTAGAGCTGAGGAGCTTGGTTTGAGGCTTCTGGGTTTTCGGATTTCAGTCGTCTCAGCAGGCGGTATCCTTGCAGTTGAGATGGTAACTGCCAACTGTGGATTGAAGAGATTCAACTTCTGGCTTGTCTAGAGTCTAGAGCGTGCGGGAGAGACGAGAGAGAGAGAGAGAGCGAGTGTGTGCAAAAGAGAGAAAGAGAGAGAGAGAGAGAGCGAGAGAGATTGAGAGAACGAGACTGGTTGTCCTGACCCACCCCACCCGCGCATCCCATCGTACCCAATCGTCAAGTCCAGCACATCATACACATCATAAATTCGTCTCGGCCCTCATCCAGCGAGTTCATCGCCAAGCCCCGGCTCACCGACTCATGCGAACTTACGCAGACATGCATACAAAGCAGCAAATGTATATGTGTGTATACATATACCTATATATATATATATATATGTATATAAATAAACGCATTTCCACAGGCACATACATACATCTCTCTGTATAGTTATATACATATGTGTGTATATATATATATATATGTAAACACATTTGTATATATATATATACATGCACACATAAACAGGTATATATCTGTGTCCGTGTCTGTGTGCGCGCGTGTCTGTCTGTCTGTCTGTCTGTCTGTCGGTCGGTCGGTCGGTCGGTCGGTCTGTCTGTCTGTCTGGTCTGTCTGTCTGTCTCTCTCTGTCTGTCTGTCTGTCTGTCTGTCCACACACGGGCATGTGCGTGCATGTGTGTGCATGTGCGACTTTGCATGTCTGCATGCATGTACGCATGATTACATGCACGTAAGCAAGCATGCATGCATGCATGGACGCTTCTTCAGGAGCCCACGCAAATATCTTCCTTGTTGTGAAACAAAACACACAACCGCGCGCACACCATGCATATGTATGTGTATATATATATATATGTATATGTATATGTGTGTGTGTATAGATATACACACATGCACACGTACACATACACGTACATATGTGTGTATATATATATATATACATGTATCTGCATGTATGCATGCATGCATGCATGTATCTACGCATGCATATAGGTAAGTAGGTAGGTAGGTAGGCAGGCAGGTAGGTGGGTGGGTAGGTATGATGTGTGTATATATGCATTATAGATATAAATATACTTTTGTTATCTTGTTATATGTGTATATATATATATATACATACAACATGTACACCTATGTATGTGTGTATATATGTACAGATATACTTATACATATAGACATATACCTGTGTATATATATATATACAGATATAGTATGAGTTATCAAAAACAGAATAAGATATAACATACCATAGCGCAACATAGTATGATACATCACAGAAAGTCTGTCATGGTATACTAAAATCTAACATGAAATACTCTATAATATATACTGGAAAGAGATAAAATGTAATATACCATGATGTAATGTAATACAATATAATGTAACACTGCAAAGCACCAGCCCGGCAAATGCAGCTATGCCCGTAACACTTGGTTAGACGAGCACGGCAATGGTACAGAAGTGGCATAGCCGGAGCAAGGCAAAACAACAACCTTCGAAATACTACTCGTGGCCCTAAACCCTAAACCCTATCCCCTAACCCTAAACCCTGATACACGCAGCACCAGGCTGCTCTGCAACTTATTTGATGGCGCCTTTGAGCTTGGCGAGCTCTGCTGCCGGTGTGGTGAGGGGTAGGCCAAGCTGTTCGTAGTCCTGGTTGGCAGGGCACGGTTGCGGTTTGGAGTTCAGGGTGCAGTGATTGACAAATAGTCGCTTAACAGTTGTTACAGGATGTCGGGAGTTCGCAGATGCTAGGAGCCAGGAGAATGGACAGAATAGCAACTAATACCAAAAGGATGGAACATGCAGGGGCCAGGACCTTGCAGCCATGAGATTCGGAGTTTAACTTCGGGGATAGACTCCAGAGCAAATATTGAAACTGAGTTGCTTCTGAACACTACTGGGGATATATATATATATATATATCCCTGATGCCGTATTTTGCGTAAACACAGCATGTAACGTCGAGTATCGGTCAAGCGGCACAAGTGGACAGGCCCGGGCCACATGAGGCAACACATCCTTATGCTGTACTTGGCATGAATCTCTGCTCGAGACGGAATTGACACGGCGCTTTCGGTGGCAATCAGCATTGAGCGGACATGGCAGCTTGAGTATTTGGTATGTGTTTGTGTGATCACTTTAGTTTGAGAGTTGCATCCATTGTGGATGTTCCCTCCTAAGACTGGGCCGGATCAGGGCTTAAGATTTGTCGTGCTGTGCCACCCACGGGCCTCGTACTTGGGTAAGCCATGCACCCAGGCCGACCAGTAGTCCTTTTCAGCATCGCCTGTCTCCTTAGCTTAGGAGGAGTCTGGCAGTGCATTTGTGTGGTACGTGCGAGCCACGGGACTCATGAAAGCTCCGATAAGCCGCCCTCTTGTTCTCGTAAAATACCTACACCGCGAAGTGATAGCGTATATGGTCTGTGTGTACCTCTCTTTCCATGCTTCATGTCTCGTCTATATGACAGACTGGGAATTAAAGGGGCCGAGGGGGCTTGCCTGTCTATGGACACGGGGTGGATAGGCCTGTGAGATTCGGTTGCGGAGGAACGGCTTTCAAAACGCAGCTATGCCCCATTGATTAAACTCTACTAAATTGGAACATAGGTTCAGGACTAGTGCCGGGACACGTCATATTTTACGATGAAGGAAGGAGGATAATGTAATGATGGTACTTTTGAGCCCCTGAACTTTTGTCGAAGTGGTCCGCATGGAGGCCAGCGATGTCTGTTCAAGGTTTTGGGAGGTCTTCAGACTTCAGGCTGGTAGATCAGGTTTAAAAGGCCCTTCACAAGCAACAACCTAGCAACAAATAAACAAACACGATAGTCACCTTTTCACATGGTGTGAGATCCGGAAACAGAGCAATTTACAGCAACTAGCAGTGACTAGCAACAAGATTCACACACACACACAATCGGAGCATGATACAACAACAACCACAACAACGAAAACGCACGCGCACACACACACACACACACGCAAACAAGACAACAAAAGCAACAATAAGCAACATAATGACGATGTTTCGGGCATACAAGCTCACGATTTCATGCGTGGTCACGGTTGGTACACAGCGATCTACGACATGCTGCCAGTGCAGACGCAAACACACACACACACATTGCACCCGACTGGGTGCAAACACGCACGCGCGCGCACACACACACACGCCCTGGCCACGGCTCGACCACTCGATGTCGGAGCCAGCTTGGCAGCCAGCTTCTCTGATCGTCCTGGGCATCTTGTTGGATATGAGATCCTGATCGCCTTCGCGATTGCCACATTCATAGCTACAGGCAGTGCTCGTAGTAGTAGTAGTACTAGTACTGTAGTAGGTAGTGGTAGTGGTAGTCACAGCAGTAGTAGTAGTAGTAGTAGTAGTAGTAGTAGTAGTAGTAGTATAGTAGTTAGTAGTAGTAGTTGTTGTTGTTGTAGTGGCAGCAGCAGCAGCAGCAGGAGTAGTAGTAGTAGTTGTTGTAGTTGTAGTTGTAGTTGTTGTTGTAGCAGCAGCAATAGGAATAATACTAGTACAGCAGCAGCAGAAGGAGTAGTAGTAGTAGTTGTAGCAGTAGCAATAGGAATAATACTAGTAGCAGCAGCAGCAGCAGCAGCAGCAGCAGCAGCAGCAGCAGGAGTAGTAGTAGTAGTAGTAGTAGTAGTAGTAGTGGTGGTGGGGTGGTAGCAGTAGTAGTAGCAATAGTACTACTAGCAGTGGCAGTGGTAGTAGCAGCAGTGGTTATGGTACACGTAGTGGTAGTGGTAGCGGCAGCGGTAGTAGTAGTAGTAGTAGTAGTAGTAGCAGTAGTAGTAGAGGTGGTGTCAGTAGCAATAGTAGTGGTGCTAGTACTAGTAGTACGAGCAGTACACAGTAGTAGTAGCAGTAGTTCTACTACTGCTACTACTACTACTACTACTACTACTACCACCAATACTACTGCTACCTCTCGCCACCCCCTCCTCCCACCAACTAGGCTTGCCAAACAAGGGTTCTGGAAGCTCGAGTTTCCAAAGTAGACAAGTGGATTTTTACGCAAAAACAGGTGAAAGGACATTACGAAAGTACCGTAAACACCAACTGCAATGGATGTGCTCTTGAGAGGGTTTAGAGCAAGTGTAGCTGGTAGGCGATGGGGGTGCCTACTGCTACTGCTACTACTAACTACTACTACTACTACTACTACTACTACTACTACTACTACTACTACTACTAACTACTCTTACAACAACAACAACAACAACAACAACAACAACTACTACTACACGGACTACTACACGTACTACTACTACTACTACTACTACTACTACTACTGCTGCTGCTGCTGCTACTACTACTACCAATACTACTACTACCACAACTACTGCTGCTACTACTACTACTACTACGACGACGACGACTACTACTACTACTACGACTGCGTCTGCGACTGCGACTGCGACTGCGACTGCGACTGCGATGGCGACTGCGACTGCGACTGCGACTGCGACTGCGACTACTAGTACTATTGGTTGTTGTTGCTGCTAAATTTGCACATCTATAGACCAGACAACTCGACGATTTGGGGCGAGCATCGGCATCGCTCCCTAAGAACTCCAGCTTCTTCTCGGCCAGCCAGAGCCTGAGCTGGAAAGCAACCAACGACATGCCCAGCAGTCGCAGTGAAACTGTTTAAGAAATCCGCATCCATGCAAGAGCCGTGACCCTCGACTTGTGCGTCGAACAGCCGCCGGGATGCTTTTCGAACAGATTCCCGACCTGCATGGACCCCAATTACTTGCCCATCGAGTCCTTGCAGCAACACCTGCCCTCAAACCCGTCCATGATAAGATTCTCGAACATTACTCCCAGCCCAATGTTGATGCAACAACCTATACTGGGGCACTTGACATGGTACCTGAACTCAACTGATTAACTTTCGACGAGAGGACGCTTAGCAGGTGAACGCCTTCGAGTGCAGATTTGGATCTTCGCGCCCACACTGGGGCGGAGAGGCCGGAGACAAGACCATCAAATCGAAAAGGATTTCGGGTATGTTATTCAGTATTCTGTGGTTCGATAAGGGTTGCGAACATGCGCGAGCTTTCAGGCCAGGTGACCCATGTTTGGCATAGCCACAGGCCACTCCACTTTTTGGGTCTTTTCCACCTGGGCTGTGGTGCTTGTGCAGATGAACTCACTGCAGTCTCTAGAGCCGCAGCCTACAGTCGACCTACCGTCGCTATGTTAAGCCTGTAAGCGCAACCCAGCGGCAGCCCAAAAAGCGGTCCTCGCTTATCTGATCATCGGTGACCTGAGATCCAGAGTTCTGAGTGCCTTTGTGTGTTGAGCACATGTTGCACGCCATTCATTCTTCGCTTGGTTTCTGTTTTGACGAAGCTAGGGCATGACTCAAACATGAGTATGCGCACTCCGAGGCTGGCGAGAAGTCAGCTACTTCATCGATTTGCAGACAAGTCGCGCGCGACTTCCAGGGAAAGCCGAGAATCTCCTTCCCAGCCTGATACGTGCGACTCCCTCTTGGAGGGCGGCTCAAGGGTTTTGAGTTTCATACGACGGATCCCTCAGCACAGGATCTCGGAGTTTTTCAACATCAACCCGCAGATGGATCCCCTTGTTTCGTGTCTTCTGAGGATCCATCTAGCACGGGTTAAACAGTTCAGCCGCCCCGTACCAGAGAAAGAAACTCGCAGACTAGCACTTGACTGAAAGAAAACCTGAAGCTCCGTTAGGTCCAAGCGTCCCGAATGTCCACGTCACTGGCCAAGCCTTCTATGGTGGTCCCGCCCTGGATTCGTCTCGGATTCATTTTCCGACTGCGGGTTTGGAGTCGGTGGGACCAGTTGCTTGAGGGTCAGCTAGGGTCTAGCCCGGGCCCCGCTCGCACTTCTAGTGAAAATGGAAGGTTGAGGGGGCCCGGCCGGACCCTGCATGGGCTCCTATTACACTCCAGTTCACACTTGTCTCACACGGACTTGTCTCACACAGACACTGGCTTTTTTTCCCGCCTACCTCTCAAACTGTCGTGGTGCTGCTTTCCCATGCTCAAACTTCTGCTCCCCCTTCTGTGCACGCTTTCGCTTGTACTTTCTCACAACTCTTGTGCTGGTTGCCAATGGACGGCTACTGCTACTGCTGCCAGCTACTGCCGCTGCTGCTGCTGCTGCTGCTGCTTCTGATTCGGCGAAGTTATGTAACGAAGACAGCGACGACGACCGCTGCCTACACCACCTACCGCACCGTTGCGACTTCGACGAGTGCTACGACTGCTACTGCAAGCACTTCACACCGGCACGGAGACTGAGAATGACCGTAGCGGTGAAAACAACTGCCGGCAAGCTTCGTGCTGAAAGTCCTGGATGTACCTCGGTGGCTGAAGGCGCGGCTGCTGATTTGGGGGGGGGGAGACTGTTGATGATGCTGTTGATTATGGCGATGGAGATATGATGATGGCAAAGATCATGATGGTGATGATGATGATGATGATTACAATAACAATGGCAACGATGATAAGGATGTTGATCACCGTGATAGACGCCGATACTATGATTATAATCACGACCGGCCTTTGCTGCACTCACCTTATCATGGCTGTCCTGCACAGAACAGCCTTAAGAGAGCACAACGCTCTGAGATCTACCGGATAGACTCCCGAGCTTCTTCAGTTCCACACCTTGATTCTTGATGAGTGAAAGGTGTCGAGCCCTCATTGCCAGGGTGCAAGGACGGCTGCCAGCCGGTGGACACTTTCATCCCGGGGGGCGCGCACAGCTGCTGGAAAGCCTTGAGCAGCACGTAGGAACCTCCCAAAAGTCGGCAGATGTGCAAAGAGACTGCAAAGAGCCTGCTTCCTGAGAACCGACCCTGAACGCGAACAGACCGTCAAAAAGCTTGCACCAGTGTGCTGTGCGGCCACCACCCCCGATAGAGTACAAGTGCCAGTGAATCTTGATACGGAACAGTAGCATTGCTAGTTCAACACTTTGGATCTTGAAGCAAGATTCACTCTGTTGAGCACGGTCTTCTGTGCGTAGCTTCACGGCTTCCAGCGGAACTTCCATACACTGCTAACGTGCCTTCTCTCATGCTGCAATCGATGGTCGCAGCGGCCGGAAAAGGCAGGGTGGCCGGACATACGAACTCGGTCGGGTATCTCTTGCTGTTTCTCCGAAGCTGCTTAGCAGCTGCTGATGGCACAAGGAGCAAAGAATCCTGGCTAGATGTCACAGCGTGTGTGTCCGTGTGTGTGTGTTTCTGTTGGGGGGAGGATTTTGCAATCGTTGGGGTTCCACAGTTTCAGTTGGAATGCTGGCCGTAAACCCCGTCTGTCTGTCCAGCATTGTACAGTCATTGGCACAACGTCGTTGCATGCCAACAAAACCCTTTGGCTCATGCTCGTGCCGGGCATTCCCGAACAAAAGCTTGAGAAACGCCAGCAATCGAATGTTGGCTAAGGAGGCATCCACCACAAAAAGCATGCAGCATACTAGTCGGACGAGCGCCTCTGCTGTCGAAGTTGCCCCGCCATGGACACAGCATTGAGGCTTACAACAAAACTTCAAGACATCGACCCCAGACCCTGAACCCAAAAGTCGCACCGAGGCGCGAGCATAATTACAGAAGGATGTCTGTTTCAGTGGCGAGCGATTCCGGGCGATGCCACCCTGCCAGGACGATAACACAAACAATAGCAAATATTTGCAGTAATAAATGGGAACAGCCCTCCTGATGGAAAAAGATAAGAATCAAAATAATCTAATGGAAAGAATAGTCATCGTAACGCGAAAACTACAATTGAGCCTACGAAGCAACAGTAGTGTCACACAGCTTTATGCTGCTCAAGAGTTGCACAGGTCCCACAAAGTCAGTGGGGTTCTGAGCCTGGGTGCTCGTCTCGTTTCCGGTCCTTGGAAGTGCGAGGAACGAGTAGATGGCAAGCTGCTCTAACACAAAGCCTATATATCTGCCGAGAACTCCACAATGAGCAACACTTCCAGCTTGTCGAGCATCGTGTGATGCCAGAGCGTCTGACCTTTATGAGCCCTGAGCCTACACCGCTTTGAGGAAAGCACCCATCCACGTCGCCCACCGACAGTGCCAGGCAGCCGAGGACGTCCGGCACCGGGGGGTGTGCAGGGACCTCACTGCTCAGAGTGGGTCGATTCTTTCGGCTTTAATAAGGGTATTTAGGAGTTTGTGCTTCGGCTCTTTCGAGTTTAGTGTTTCAGGATTTAGGCTTGACGATTTTTGGACGCTAGGGTTGTCGGGTTTTTCTTTTTGGCTTTTAAATCTTGGCTGAGTTCACCGTATGCCTTCTCCCTGCATGTTCTCTCCGAGCTCCACACTGCAATGCCTGCTTCTTCGTATGCACCACCTGTCCAAGGCTTGAGAGTCAGGGGTGTCAGTTCACGTAACTCCGCGTGTGTGCGTGCCCAGGAGCGCATGCATCAACACATGAATACGATCATGCAGCAGACCTTCAATGCAATCAAATATGAAAATGAGTATGCTAATGTATGCATGCATCAAAAATGGCGGCGCTAAGAATTTTAGATATTTACCATCAATCCATCCGGCACCCATCCATCCGTACATGCACCCTTACATGCTTACATACATTTACATTGGCACGAAACCAAATGTATATACTTGGTAGCTGCATACATAAATACTTTCTTACGCACTTACTTACTCAACTCTTTGCGCACTTACTTAATTACGTACTTAGTTACATGCTTACATGCAAAAATAAATACATGCGTACATGCATAGACATATACAGACACACATATATATATATATAGACTAATATAGACATGCACAGACGTGCATGGACATACGCACAAATGTACATATATAAGAACATGCAACATGTACGTACATACAGCTCCGTGTACATACATTACATTACATTGCATTAAATTACATTACATTAGATTACATCACATCACATCACATNNTGCATACATACAACTGCATACACACACAGAGATACAGCTACACATTCCCTTTCACAAAACAAACACATACACATGCACATACTCAAGCACACAAGTGCAACCACATACATACATACATACATAC